GATCCACTGGAGAACAGGAACAGAGTCGGCGTCAACCCGCTCGGCGACACGGACAGGATCAGAGGCGGCATCGACCCCGCCCAGGAACAGGAACAGTCTCAGTGGCGGCGTTGACCCGCCCGGGATCAGGAACCAGCTCGGCGGTGGCGTCGACCCCACCCAGGAACAGGAACAGAACCCGGACCCAGCTCAGTGGCGGCGTCGACCTGTACGGGGATGGCCAGGATGCAGGACCGGTGAGGCGGGACCTCCGCGACGCTTGGCGGTGGGACCTGCGTGCCGCTGGGGAGCAGCGAGGTCTGGGCGCTGGGGAGCGGCGAGGTAGGGTGTCGCCGGGATCCACGTCTCTTCTGCGGGGCAGCGGACTGAAGAAAGTGAGCATGGCACAAGACGGTGGGGAGTGGCAGAACCTCCGTGACGCTCGGCGGCGTAACCTCCGTGACGCTGGGGAGCGGCGAGGTCCGATGTTGCTGGTAGCCTCGTCTCTTCTCCGGGGCAGTGGACTGTAAGCACTGCGTCTGGCAAAAGACGCTCCAACTAGAGATAGAAGAGGTCCTCCAATCCAGTTGTTAATTGTGTTGTTGCAGCCAGGGGAAACCCAGCACTACAGAGGCTAAGAGTGAAGAAACGACGTAGAGCTGGATGCTCTCCCGATGGTTCCCCGAGACGATCAGTGACTGAGGAGTAGTGCGGTGAGTGGCCCTGGTTGCTAGTCTGCCATTGAATGCACAGATTATGCGCGGGGTCTCTAGGAGCTCCAGTGGGGCATTCTTCTGACTAGCAAACTCACAGTCACACAATAAAATTGTCAGAAGTCCCCGAATCAACAAAAACACGCAAAGAAAAAACTCGAGAGTCTATGTGCAGGTTCATGGGTAAGAGTAACACGGGGGGAAGGAGAAGAGGGGGCAGTAGCGGGAGGAGTACTCACAGGGAAATCCGGGGAGGATCCGGCATTGGCAGATGTCATTTGGTCCAGCCGGGAGGAAAAGCCTTGGACGTTGGTGGAGAGGGTCTGGAGGTAGACCCTTAGCCCATGTAAAAGCTGGCCATGATTCCCTAGCGGGGTTCCTCGGGCATTCAGAGCCTCCTTGAGGGTGCTGGAGTTCGTTGGGTCCATCGTTCTTGGTGAGACGATTCTGTTATGGCTGGTGGCCACTAGGTGTGTGAGAGAGCTGGACCCAGAACGAAAAGGGAGCAGGGTTAGGAAACAGCAGGTTTTATTTAAAGGAATCAGAGAATGTGGGACACCGGGGAGGCAGGTGAGGGAATCTAGGGCTGGTGCCGTAGTGGACGTAGTGTCTTTCCATGTAGTTGTGCATGCGGCGGTCTCCCATGCTTGTGGCGTCCTTCCCGTATTGGTGTGGCAACCCTCCCGTCATAGCCTAATGTTTGGACCTGAACAGACAGCTCTTGTGCAGCGGGACCTTGTGTGTTTGTGTTATACTGACATATAAATATTTAAAAGAAAGAAGAATCTTTGCAGCACATTTTGGGGGTTGGAGGACTGAAAAGAAGTGTCAGTTATTACTTAAATGTCTGCATTTAAACACTTTCCAACATGTTGGCTTGCTTTTTAACAAAAGCAGGTATGGCCATCTCAAAACCTCAGCAGAAATCAGTAAATGTAAACTTTCTAGCCACGCATACAGTATTATATTCTGAGATATATTTACTACTACCCTCTGAGGAAGGACAAGACATGTATTGTTTGTGAAGCAGAATGAAAACAACAATTTTTATGCACAAAAGACAACCCTGTCTCTCGGAAATGACATTCCAAGACAACTTAACTGCATTCTCATTTGAATGAAAGGTATTTTCTCTACAAAGGTACGATTGTGACGTTGTGGACAAGGTTTCCAATTTAAAGGAGCCGCAAAGTCCAAATAAGCAGAACAACCACATAAGTCAACAACACGACTTTCATCCAGGAGACCAGGGTTTGGTTTCTTAAATTCACTTAAATTCTTAAATCACGTTGTTTTTTAACCGTTTTCATTCACTGGTAGGTTTACGCACCAAAACTGTATGGGGTTAGGTTTTAAAACTACACATTTCAGTTCAAATACACTCTCTTACAACATGTTTAAAGCTTCTCTCCCATTTTGTGGGTAATCAGAGGGATGAGTTCCACCCCATCTAAGATATGACTGGTTGGCTGAAAAGGAGTGACAGTAAAGGAATACAATAATTGGCAAAGGTGTGTTGATTTGCAGTGTATTTGTGGTACGTCACAAAAGTAATCCAACAGAAAAGATGCTTCTCTCAAAATGTAATAGAGATTAAAGTTTGAGTGTATAGAAAGGTAAATTATGGGAGACACAAGCAGGAGCAACACCTACAAAACCTTTCAGTATCTGCAGCATTATTTATGTGACAATATATATTTGCTGTTGACAACATGAAAAGAAAAAACAGAATAGATAGATTCCAGATAAAATGTTGATTACATCCTTTTTGTCTTCATTGCAGGCTCCAACCAGCCACCACATTTCCTGAACTACTTCTTCTCGACCTACCTTCTCATCTATGAAGATACGGATATTGGTGAGTCTCTGAAGTGTCAACATGTTGCATTTGATGCATCGACGTGGTCTGAAGAAAGTACAGTAACGGCGTCTTTGCTTTGTCGACTTATTTACTGCACAGAAATGTTCTGTCCTCTGTATCCCCTGAATATAAACTGCAAAGGGGAAAAAAAACAACTGAGGAGAGATGTCATAACAAACACTGACAGTGATAGCAATGGATGTCCTCTATCAGAATGTGTGTATGTGTTTCTGTGTGTGTCTTGGTGATGAGAGGAAAAACTCCAGTGTCTTGTTGACTGAGTCGTTCTCTTGTATACAGCTGGCACAAAAGAAACCTGGAATGTTTTGGCTATTCCACACCTTGTTGCTGCTGTGAGTCAACGAGTTGTCCAGATTTGGTATCTCCATGTTATTATAAACTTGCTTATGTGGTGCATCCCACTGCTGTTGGGGGCAGTCAGGGGTTATGGTATGAACACCAGATACCAGGTTGAGTCCGACTCCCCCTGGATTTATTATTCCCCCTCTTATTTATTTTTTGTCATTTTTGTTGGTTGCAATGATTGACAGGGCAATTTGAAGATGTCTGGCTTTTCATCATCTCTGAGGGTGTCAGTGGCTCGGAATTAAAATCCTTTATATTGAATTGATTTTCTAGAAGTTTTTTTTTTTTTTTCTTTTATCACATGACCTTTACACTCTGCCAGTCTGTCAACACTCCTGGTCTGAGTGTTGGAGTGTTCGCTTATGTCTACTTCCTCACAGCTGTTTTCTGTGAGCAGTTACATGTCATGGGCATGGACAAAATATCTTCTGATTTTATTTTTTTTTCCTTTATTCACATTTTGTATTGGGTTCATGAAAGTTCAAATACACCAGCAAGTCTCCCTCGTCGTCATCAATATTCCAGTCATCACCCCGTCTTTCATCTGTTATCTTCCATCATCATCATCTTAGCCGAATGTTTTATCGTGCAGCCAGGAGAGGTTATAGCATCCCTCGAAAACTACAGTAAATCCTCGTCATTGTGACCTCAAATACCATTGTCCTCATAGTTGCCTGGTTTGGTATCTTTATCCAACAGGACAAAGTAGATTTTGGCTAAAGGCCATCTCTTCATAAAGTCAGCTGGCGTTCAGACCAGTGAAGGGCACGGATGTGATGGTGGGTGGCATTGCTGATTTCCCTAACCACGCTGTTCAGGTTGCCCTCTGGCCATGAATCAGTGTCCTCTCCTGAGGCAGCTGGGCTTTGGTCCAGCAACACCTTCCACTGGTCCAGAGAGCTGTCAGTCATGCTACTGGCCTGGTCTGTAATGGCTTCTTCGCTGGTGTGATTGTTAGGGCGGACAGAGCTGATCAGACAGTGACAATTTGTCAAGATTATTGTTTATTAGCTCAGCAGATGTCCTCATCTAGGAGGCCCTCCAATTCATAAACGCATGGATGACACACACCCACACACACACACAAAACACACTCTGAGTCAAACGTTTGTGTGTTATGTGAGCAGAGGATGGAGCTAAGCTAAGAACTGTATAAGATCCTTCCTCACCCCAAACACCCAAGTTTTCTCACCCACAAACTCAAGATTACTTATCATCCAGCGCCCTGACTTAATAAAACAGCCCAACAGCAATTTCAATGCTGGCATCGCTCTTTCTTTTGATTTGAATAAAGGAGCAAAATAAAAAAAACGTATTTTCTCATCTCAAGGTTCAGTGCAAAGATTGTGCAAAGAATAAAGAATTGTTAAATTGGGCTTTCAGGGCACAATGGAGGCAGTTTAATCATATTCATCACAAAACTTCATACTTTCATCTATACTTCATTAGACCATTATTTTACCACAAATCTGATGAACATAAATGAGCACCTGTCTGGCTGACTGGAAGCCAAACTGCACGACTTCAGCACAGTGATCAGGTTTCACACAGCCGCTCGGATTAGTCACATTCAGTTACCAAGTCTTGGTGATGATGTAACGGCATATGGTTCATGTGAGCAGGTTGTGCGAGGTGACACCAGTTTGTGTAATAAGCAGCTGATTGGCATGTTCACAATAGGACCACTGATACGGTATTATACAGATGAGCAACCCAGACTGTCCTCAAGTAGAAATGGTCTGCATTCATGCACACATGCTGGCAACACTATTTTTCTAGGCAGCAGATCAGTAGCTCCAACGCATGGTCTCTGAGCCAGTAGCCTCAGCGCTGTATAGCCTGCAGAAGCACATTCTGCACATTATTTATCAGGCAGATGAGGGAACACATCCAAACATCTATTTGATCTGAGGCTACACCCTCTTTTCTATCGGGCCCAGCAAGAGGTTTGGTATGGCTCCTAGCACAAGGTGTTTGCACAGATGTGTGCTGTAAAAAAACTCAGTACCGACACATACCAGTCTGCCAAAACATCAAAACCCTCTTATGTTTAGGTCTCCTTCGTGCTGCTATAACCTCTGAAGGTGTCCTGTGGTATCAGGTAACAAGACATGCAGCCGATCATTTAAATGGATCCTAGAAGCTATGAGGTGGGGCCTCCATGGATCTGACACATTTCACAACCAAATTGAAATCTGGAAGCCAAGTCAACACGTTTGTTATGTTTCTGAGACCATTCCTAAATAATTTTTGCTGGCTTGGCAGGGACCATTATCCTGCTGAAAGAGGAATCTGCCATCAGGGAGTGCTGTTACCATGAAGGAGTGCACTTGTTCTGCAACCATGTTTAGCTCGATGCTACGTGTCAAAGTGTCATCCACACGCATGCCAGGAAGTTTTCCCAGCAGAATATTACAGAGAGTGTCACTCTACCTCTGCCCACTTGTCTTCTTCCCATAGTGCATCAAGCTGCCATCTCGTGATAAAAATGCACACCCACCCAACTTTTCATATTATGTAAACTAGATTCATCAGACCAGGTCTCCGTCTTCTATTGCTCCTTGGTTCACCTCTGACGTGTCCATTTTAGGTGCTATTGGTGTTGAACAGGGGTCAGCATGGGTGCTGGGTCTGCAACTACACAGTCCCATACACAGTGAGCGGTGATGCATGATCATAGCCACATGGGCCAGGCTTCACTCCTCATGCTCATCACTGCATCCTTAGTGCCCGTGACCCTTACCAGTTGCCTCTCCATGAACCACTTTTGCTAGATATGATCCCCTGCATACTGGGAACACTCCACAAGACCTGCTGTTTTGGAGATGCAATCTTCTAGCCATCACAATTTGGCTCTTGTCAAAGTCACTCAGATCCTTAAACTGCCCATTTCCTGCCTCCAAGACATCAGTTTTCAAGAATTGACTGTTTACTAGCTGCCTAATACATCCCACCCCTTGAGAGGTGCCATTGTGACAGGATAATGTTATTCACCTCACCTAGTTACTCACCTAATCTTGTGGCTGATCAGTGTGCACAGTATACTGCCTTAAAAAAATAAAATAAAATAAAAAATACTAACAAGTACAACACCCTCAGCTTGATACATAGGTGAAACAGAGCCCACAAGGAATATTTAGCCTCCACTGTATGCATAATGCCTGTGATGCTTGATTAGGCTGCATTAGTGGTCTGCTGTACACTGCAGTGATACAATGATGCCTCAGATGAATATTTTGTTTGGAACAAAACCCTCCCTGTGTTTATGTTCACTCTCTGCATGTCTGTACCTTCTCTATGTGTGAATGTCCATTTAGCGTGAATATGCATGCATGTGTTTACATTTCATGATTTTTTGTCACATCCAGGCAGTGGGATCATTCACTCTTGGAGGGGGAGGGCAGCTAAACAGAGGAGCTGATGTTTAAATGCAGTGGCAGATAACAGTGTGTGTTGTGTCAGGAAATGGGATGTGTAATTAGACTGAGAGAACACTTTGATTAAACGCTCTCATCTCCTAATCCACTTTGCCCTGATTCGGCAGATTAAGCTCTCTACTGAGTAATTAACTTGTGGAAACACAACATTTGTTGAAAATAAGAAACTTCCACACTCTGCTGGGAAGGTTTGTGCTTGTCTTGTAGTTTTTATGCCAATTGAGCATGAGGCGTTGCTGTCTGATTAAATTTAAAAATCTGAATCAGGCTAACATTATTACAACACATGTTCATTTATATGTGCTAACTCATTGTACGCTTTACATTTCTTTGTAGTCTCAGAGGGCAAAAGAGAACAACAGCAGAGATGCTTTCGGCTGTATTGATTGCATAAATTAATTGAAGAGCTCTTCTTTAAACAACCATTTGAGGCATTGTTACTGACCCCCTATGAAGCTAAACAAGAGATCATGAAATTTACAAAAGGGAGGTGTGATAAAAACACATGTTGTATTTCCCCCAGATCACACAACAGACAAATTAGACTTCCAAAGCAGCAAAGCAGTGTAACACCTTTTATATGAGCCCATGTAGACCTCTCTTTCTTACACTATATTTTCTGTCTTATATTGTCTTTTCTCTTATAGGAACCAGCCTCCAGAGGGAAAGCTCTGTAGCCAAAGTTTCTGAACTATTTTTCTTATGTTTTACTCCTGCATCAAAGATGTAGAGCCTAAGCTGTATGTAGCAGTACTAGGACATAGTTTAAACATTTTAAGTGCCAACCTTTTGTCTGAACTTCTTCCCACTCCTTTTTCTCTCTTGCTCTCCTCTACGCCCTCACATTATTCTACTGGCACAGTAAATACCTTGCACTTTTAATTAGCTCTGTGGCGTTCCCAATTCAATAATAATTAAGGAGCAAGAAGTAGCCCCATATAACATCTTATTAAAGTCTTCCTCTAAACGTGTTGATAATGACTGTGTACTCTCTCTCCAACCAATTCCTCGCTGTCAGCTGCTCAGCACACTCTGCATTAAGTATGGCTTGTCAACACTGTCTTCTCTGGACACCGTCTCTTGTGCAGCTTCTCTGATTCATTGTATTGACTGCGTTAGCTTGCCTGCACCCATAAACTAGAGACAAGAGATGGGTGTCGTTAAGATTTTACTGGTACAACCACACTTACTGAT